GTATACATTTCTTACCGTTACCACAACTGAAGTATGCCCCCAAATAAGCAACGGGTGATACAAGCTTTTATTAGAAGTTTTAAATTGAAATGCGAGTCGCACAGCAAGATACTGGTAAATACCACGATCCTCAGCACCCGAGATATCTAGGAGACCTGTGAGCAGTGGCCAATTCTCAACCGTAAACATAAGCAGTTCCCAAAAGCAAAGGAGAAATTTCTGCTACAAAAACCGACAGTGTCACTCCCAAATGACATAAAGCGGGGCATGAACTCGAAAGGACCCCTCCCCCCAAGTACGAATCCCCATGTTTGAAACCCTCACCTCGGCACCTCTCTTTCCCAGTGGTAACTACTAAAACTCGGCTCGGCCGGCGTCATACACGATTTGCGAAAAATTTTTTCCGGCAGTGGAGGGTAGGGTTACCCAATGGCGAGTGGCGCCTGTTTGAATGTGATGGGTGGGTTTGCTACGGGATTCGTTCGAGGCAGGGGAGGGGGACTGGGATAGGTAGATTTGATGGCTACATGGCGTAGATCCTTTGTCGGATAGATCTAATAGCTACATGGGTGTAGATCCTTTGTTGGTTAGATTTAATGGCTACATGGGCGTAGATCCTTTGTTGGTTGGCTAGGACACGTACGTTTGAAAAGCGAAAGGGCGAGGGGAAGAGGTGATGGGCGAAAAGGAGGAGAAAGTGAGCTGCTGGTTACTGCCGCGGATAGAGAATGGGCTGAAATATTGCTTACTTCCAAAGTGCTCTTACAGTAGGGATGAAGAGGAGATCAGATGTTGCTTTCCAGACAGGATTTGGGGACAGGATGGAAAAGGGGAACGAGAATACAAGTCAGGAGCTCGAGGCAAGAACTGAATAAAACCGAGCCAAAATGAATAAAAACAAAAAAAGCAATCAAAAAGAAGAATCTGAACCTAATAAACCCAGGCTGGAACGCACCAGGCTCCCCAGTGCGATCATGCGTTTTTGCACTAAACTCACAGATCGCTATTAGCAGGAATGATCCCCATGCTGCAGCCTAACACTTGGGCTAATATTGGCCCTGCTTTGATCCTTTCTGGCATGCAGGAGGAAGG